CCTGGAGAGCTGTAAAGAGGGGCTGTGGCGCATCTGCTTGTCATGCAGAAGGTCCCAGGTTCAATCCCCGGCATCGGCAGTTAAAAGGACCAGGCAGGAGGTGATGGGAAAGGCCTCTGCCTGATACCCTGGAGAGCTGTAAAGAGGGGCTGTGGCGCATCTGCTTGTCATGCAGAAGGTCCCAGGTTCAATCCCCGGCATCGGCAGTTAAAAGGACCAGGCAGGAGGTGATGGGAAAGGCCTCTGCCTGATACCCTGGAGAGCTGTAAAGAGGGGCTGTGGCGCATCTGCTTGTCATGCAGAAGGTCCCAGGTTCAATCCCCGGCATCTCCAGTTGAAAGATCTGGCAGAAGGTGATGTGAAAGACCTCTGTCTGAGACCTTGGAGAGCCGCAGCCAGTCTGAGTAGACAATACTGACTTTGATTGACTGATGGTCTGATTCAGTAGAAGGCAGTTTCAGGTGTTCATGTATTCTATTTGAGGGGGTGAAGGGATGAGGACCCCCCCTCCACACAATTTACTTCTGTACGTCACAAAATAGGCCTTGGCATTTATTCTGACGGAACTTAAAATTGCTCAAGGGCCACGATAATGGGCAAAAAAAAAAAAATCCAAAAAGAATTACAATTTGATAATTAACATATTTCAATGACTGTGAGGCCTGCCCTGGATGGACTAAGGCTAGCCTGTCCTTGTCACATCCTGGAAGCTAAGTTGAATTTGGCCCTGGTTAGTCCAAAGGCAGGCAAACAACGCTCCCTCTAAGCTGTGGAATCCTGTGAGCAAAAATTCTACTTGGGGAGCGACTGGCATTAAAGTTGTGAGCGAACCATTTGGCTGCTGCATAAACTAGTTTTGCTCTGGAGCCGTCCTTCCTGAGCTAAGACAAAAACGTGTGAGCCGGAGGCTGAAAAACTGTGAGCTAGCTCACACTAATTCAGCTTAGAGGGAACACGGCAGGCGCAGGCAAACAGCCCCCAAAGGCCTCTTGCCTTGTCGACCCTATGGGGTCGCCATAAGCCAGCTGTGACTTGACGGCACTTTCCACCACCGTCGACCATTGTCAAGAGAAAATCTTTTGTTGCTTAGCAGCAACTATTCCCCCCCCCCTTCCTCTTTGTTCCAGATTATTTTCATTCAGGACCAATCGAGAGAGGGAAAGGACCCGTTTTTAGGGACGCAATGGTAGTTTCTCCTGGAACTTTCTCCTGCAAACTTCAGCCACTCTTTAAACGTGTGCTGCCATCGTGTAATGCCCGACTGCCAGACAAAGTAAATTAGAAGACAGCCCTAAGCAGGTCTACCCAGAATCCCGCACGGTTCCATTCAGCGGGGCATACTCCCAGGGAAGTACCCTCACGATTGCGTTGTTGGGGTTCCTTTTGAAACTGACTGGCCAGGATCCAAAGGGCTTGGCAAGACCCTCCAGCCACGTGCCGGGGCTTCTGAGGGATCTTCTCCTACTATAGTTGTCCCCGTGCCACTTAAAAGGTCACTCAAGGGTTGGGGGACCCTCCAGAACAGCTTCCTGCGTGATTAGAGAGCCTCAAATAGGCAGGAGGAGATCCCTGCGCATGCATACAAGCACTTTGAGCCTGCATATATCCAACCCAGGGCTACTTGGGTCACAGACAGACAGAGACTCGAGCAATGTGTTTACTCAAAACTCAGAAGCAAGAGGCACAAGTTTCCTCTTGCTGCACCCAATCTGTACGTGCTTTTTGTACTCCTGAGTTAACAGTTCACCTGCTTTCCATTCGTCCTTAGGACCACAAGAGCAGACCACCTTCATAGAAAACAACCGCTACAAAAAGAAAGCCCAGTTCTCCCTCAGATGGTAAAGCTCACCTCGAGAAGGTACCACTTCAGACCATAGGTGGAGTCTCCCGCGATTCAGTGCTCCTCCCTACGAAACAATCCCCCTTTTCCTTGTTGAGACAGGTTTTCTGTGTGTAGAAAACCTATTTTTTTCTAATGAGGGAGAATTCCATCACACGAATACCAACCCCCTCAGCTCCATCCCTTCCCAAGGCCGGGAGTGGTACAGCCTTAGACGTAGGGTTGGATCCAGTCAGCTTTTTCGCTGGTCAAAAGGAGATAACGTAGTCCCCTTTCGACCACTGAAAAGGGGTTGTGGGATCTGCGTGGACAAAAGCCCTGTGTAGAGATGTTTTTTCTGTTTTTTTCCTGAAGCTTTTTTGTTTTTTTCCAAAAAATTGGAAAAATTGAAAAAATAAAATATTTTAAGACAAGGTGTTCAAATATTTTCCAAATCATTTCTAAAATATATATATATAGTATCAGATTGATCTAATTTCTCTGCACTGCGGACAAGCAAGTCCTAGGTTACAAACTGAACTCTCCAATGCAAGAACAAGATGCATTTCTTCCTTTAGGAGGTGCTATTGTCAGAAGAAAAGAAAAAGGTTTCAGTTTTGTTTTTGCATGGTGGTGGGTATTCTGTTTGTAATCATTGTTTGGATACACTATATTTTTAATATGCTAGTTGTGATCATTTCATGCCAAGTAAAAAGGTCCATAGTCATATTTTATGTTCCTAAAGTAACAGAATGACTTTCAATCTAGAAAAGACAAAAGAAATGCTAATGTAGCATTTTTTTCAATTTTTCTGAAAATTTCCGTTTTTCCCCAGAAAAAAAAATGGAAACTTCAAAATTTCCGGAAATTTTACATCTCTAGCCCTGTGGGAGGGGGACTATAGAAAAGAGGGGAATTGGGTGAGGTTGAGTGGAAAAGACGGCTGGATCCAACCCATAGGCGTGTTACCTCGCTGAGGGTAACTATCTCCAGAACTAATCCAAGTGGGATCGGACCTGTCATTTCTACTAAGTCACTGTTGCAAATGCTGCTCAGGGTCGGAATTCCCGAAAAAGGAGCTGTAGCAGAGGAGGACATGAGGAGAACCCACTTACTTGTAAACCTGTACTCATCCTCCCGTCTTCTGATCTCTAATTCTAAGAGAGAGGATGGAAACAGTAATACAGAGAGATAAAAAGAGAGAGAGCATTACTCGTCTTGCAAACCGCTCCGAGTCCACGCCGAGTGGAGGAAAGCGGGCGAAAGGCACCCAAATAGAAATACAAAATATTACATTTCCGTCCCCTCTTGCCCTCTCCTGAATACATTTTTTGTTAAGAGCGAAGGATTGCAGCCGCAAAAAAAAAAAAAGTCAAATGGTTTGACCCACGCTCATAAGTCAAAGCCCTGTATGGCCAGGGTCCAGCTTACCTAAGGGACCGCCTTTCCCCATATATTCCCCCAAGGGCACTACGGTCGGGGAGTCAACATCTCCTGGAAATTCCAGGCCCCAGGGATATTAAATTTGCTGTTACTAGAGCCAGGGCATTTTCGGTGGCGGCTCCTACCTGGTGGAAGGAGCTCCCGGAGGAGATCCGGGCCCTGCGGGACCTGTCTCAGTTCTACAGGGCCTGCAAGACGGAGCTCTTCCACCAGGCTTTTGAGTAGGAGCCGCCGCCACTTCAATTCCACCACCGATATGTTTGCAGCATCGCACCACTACCACTAATATGTGGTTCCATATGGGTGCGAGGTAACCCTGGAAGGAGAGGGTGCTGACAAGTTGTGGGACCAATACCATCTGAGGAAGTTCTACCCCATCTTGCACTGACATTTTGTTGTTGTACTGTAATGTTTTATGGTTTTAGACTGTTTTATCTGTTCTAATCCTCGTTGTTAGCCGCCCTGAGCCTTCGGGGAGGGCGGGATATAAATCCAAAAATAAATAAATAAATAAATTTTTGACTGGGGAAGGGAGAAGTACGAAAATAGTCATGTACAGAGTTAATGATGTTAAGCGGGCGTAAAGCTTTTTAAGAAAAGCAAACACGGCCAAAGCAGACGGACGCCTTCGGGAAAGGCAGAAACTAAGCCTCTGACCCTTTTAATCCCATTTCCGAAAGAAACGGAACGTGCAGTGCTGCTGAGCCCTATTGTTAAGAAAAAGATCACGGAGTAACTGCTGAAATGTTAGCACCGTTAAATGGATCAACAGGCACAGGGTGGGCAAAGTGCATGGGTCAGAATCAAAAGAGATGCTGCGGATGGTGTTCATGGGCCAGTGAGCATACTGAGAGGGAAATACAGCCTCGATTTTTAGGCCAATAATGCACACCGCTTCTACTTTGGACAGCCTCGATTTTTAAGGCCAATAATGCACACTGCTTCTACTTTGGGTAATTTCTGGAAATGCAAACGTAGTGTGCCGTGAGAGCATCATATGGTGGTGGGAGAGGGGGAGAAGAGCCTCTGAAACTTGTTATTAATGGTCAGGGTCTTTTCAGGCCAGGTCTACAGATACACTCCTGTACTATAAAGCATCCTTTCCTAACAAGTTAAGATTAAAGTTGGAGTTATTGTCAAGTTATTTCAAAATTCAGGCTCTTCAATTGTGAATGAAAGAAAAGGACGGCGTGCAGAGAACGCCTTCAAGCCTTGGCTCTGCTGCTGTCAGAGTCTGCCCCCCCCCCCCCCCAATAGCTAGCAATCCAAAACAGTCCAGTGGCACCTTTAAGGCCAAGTTTTATTCAGTTACAAGCTCTCCCTCCTCTGCGAGGACAGATCTGCACGTCCCCACTCCCCCAAGAGCTAGCAATCCAAAATAGTCCAGTGGAGCCTGAGCGGTGGGTGTTGCCTTCTGACACACTTCTGGTGATGTCAGGGGGTGGCGGCATATGCAAATAAGTTATGCTAATGAGCTATGCTATTGAGCTCCTGCACCTCTTTTTCTATGAAATGACCCTTGGTATGAGGTATTAGGAATAAGTACCGTAGCTTCTGTGAATTGCTCTTACTGTGTACTTTTGGATGGAACCCGTTCTCCAATGGGAACAGATGAGCACAGGGCTTGGCAAATACCAGGCACCAGGGTGACCAGGAATTTAATGGTGGCGCCTGGCATTTTCAGCAGCGATTTGTTTTAGTGTCTCTCCAAGGTCCTCAGTAGAAGTACAAAGCATGTTCATCATTCCACATCAGAATATATTTTCTTATATGACACAAAAATGCATGCGCCTTGAATTCCTGCCAATGCCTTACACCATTCACTGGTAGTAGATCAATTTGCTTCTTAACCTTCTATAAAAAGGTAAAGGTTTCCCTTGCTCGAAAGTCAGTCGAATCCGACTCTAGGGTTGCAGTGCTCATCTCCGCTTCCAAGCCGAAGAGCCAGCGCTGTCCGAAGACATTTCCGTGGTCATGTGGCCGGCATGACTAAACGCCAAGGCACACGGAATGCTGTTACCTTCCCACCGAAGTGGTACCTATTTATCTACTTGCAATTTCTTGCTTTCGAACTGCTAGGTTGGCAGGAGCTGGGGCCAGAGACAGGAGCTCACTCCGTCACGCGGCACACTCGGGTCTCGAACTGCCGAACGACAGACCTTCTGGTCTGCAGCTCAGTGTCTTAACCCCTGAGCCACCGCAGCCCCTTCTGCCTTCTGTACTGACTCCAATATTCACCCAAATGGAGCTTCTTAAAAATAATGGAATGAGAAACTAGAGACACGTAAGTTTGCAGTGAGAAGTTAGCTTTTTGCTGCAGTGACGACAACCAGGATTACCCCATATTTATTTATATGCTACAATGCTTTGTCACAGGTTTAATTAAAAAAATGAAACCGCAAAGAGCTTTAGATTAGTTTTTGTGATAAGTAGATAATATAGTCACTGAAATTCAAAACCCTGAAGGCTGAAAAAATGAGACTGGCTCCTAAATTTTTAGGCTGGCTTCCAAAGCCAAATAAAATCTATCAAGGCTTTTATTAGCACATTTCAGACTTTGGGCCAGAATTTATTCAAGCCTCTGTCTAGGAGAACTCCATTTTCTAGTTCTTACCCGTTGGCAGGGATAAGGTATGAATGCAATGTATCTACATAAAATACAATGAAACACAGTTGTTATTTTGATAAAACCCACCAGCAATTTTGGAGGGCCGATTCAATCAAACTCCATTGGCCCATCGTCTATGTATTTGTGGTACCCACGAACTTGAGGATTTACCTCACTATATTCTCTTTTGCCCACTGTATTCTAGTCCGAGGGCTAAATTTTTAGTAGATATTTTAACTGGTCTTAGTGCTTACCCAGTTATAAAGTTTCATTATTTGCCCTTGCTGCAAAGACTATACGTTCCAAGGTGGCATCGGGAAGGGGCGTTATTTAGGCTACTGTATTAAATTAGTCGTATTTTGTTACTGATCTTTGGTATTTTTGTATATTCTGACTCTAACCTAGGGTTAATTCACAATTTGTGTTTTGTAATTCTGTAACAGCCAATGGCTAATTACAACAAACTAAAAGTCCAGGCAGAAGCAAAGCAGCAGGCCTCAGTAGTGCCGGCATTCTTTTTCTCATGTAGGCAAACCAATGGCACAGGGACCCTGGAGTCTGGGCCATTGAACTGTCCCCCTCACACCAAGAGGGAAGGCGCAAGGAAACCAGCACGTACAACATAAACTGATCTACAAACCTCTCGGTGTTAAGGAGGTCTGCTTTTCAACCTCAGCTTGCTGCCTTAGAGTAGCTGGGATGTTGTTGTAGATTCTCTTGTAATGATTGTATACGGCAACCGAAAGCACCTTCTTGGCAAAAGACTGGCCGACCACATACTTGTCGAGGTAGTTATAGATCTGGCAAAAAAGGGGGAAAAATAACAACACAACCCCCCCCCCTCGTCAGAACCAAGCCATCAGAAGGTGCATTATTAATACTTATTAGGAGTATGCAATCAGACACCGCCGACCTAATAAAATGCTTAGTACTTCCCGTACTGGATTGGAAACATCCAACACCATGAAGGCACCCCTAATATTTCACCCGATAAGCATTTCTGCTGCTCTGCAGGTGGTGTGCTGGCCCTTTAAATTTTAAAGAGCCATTCATTTCAGCCGTCAGAACACCTGGCCTCTGGAAACTGGTGGCCAGAGCTACAGCAGGGGAAATAATTGCCTTTAAATGGGCCAGTGTGCTGTGAACCGGCTGGGATACACTTCCAAAAGCTCATACCCTGCCATGAATTTTGTTAGTCTTTAAGGTGGTACTAGACTCTTACCCTTACAGGTGCTACTGGACTCTTACTCTTTTCTATGTGTATCTTAGTTTTTCTGTCTGAGAGGCAGGAAAAACAAAAGCTGAAAATAGAAAACACAGCTTTTGCAGTCAACAAAAGAAGGTGCATTATTCCTACAGAAGCACTCTTACGCAGTCACAACAGGACTAGTCACATATTTAACTAAACGTTATAACACTGAAAACACTGAGCTATTCACCCGTGCCTTGTTATCCTACACATTATAGCATGCTGACTGTGGCCAAAATCAATCACATTTAAACAAATATTATGCTTGACAATATGTCGCATATATCAGCAGTTATGTGCATGTATTTTCAGGCTGTTCATAAAAATCTTCATATTGCACATTCTGAGTAAACCTAGTCCTTAAAAATATTTAATTCATCCCCAAACTGAAAGTATTGCATATGAGCTTTTTGTTACCCCAGTGTTTCTTCTAAGCTGCACTAGCTCACAGGGTTTTTTTAGCCTCCGGCTCACACATTTTTGTCTTGGCTCAGGAAGGATGGCTCCAGGGCAAACTTAATTTATGCAATAGCCAAATTACTTACAGCTTTAACGCCAGTCGCTCACAGAGTAGAATTTTTGCTCACGAGACTCCACAGTTTAGAGGGAGCACAGCTTAAAACTCCCAAAAATTTCTAATTTTTTCACTGGAGAACATGAAAGGATGCTAGGGAGGGGGAAATCCCCTTCACATCTCTAACCACCTGTGTTCTTGCTAGAGCTGGCATCCACACCACGGGATACTAATACTACTTTACACAGAGAGTGATTAAAATGTGGAATTTGATGTTATCGATGGCCACAGGAATAAACAGCTTTAAAAAGGAATCCGATAGATTCATCGGGGGGGGG